GTCCCCTCGGCAGCAGGGTCCCTGAGACACTGTCTTGCTTAGGGCTGTCCCCTGAGGCCCTGGCTGCACTGTGAGCCCGAGATCTCCTAGTGACAACTTTCCAGCCCCATCCCTACTTCCTCATCCAAAGAAATCTCGTTAGAACCCTAATCCATTAGATTTCTCAGCTTCAGCCGTTCAGCAGGTCCCTCCCTTGTCAGGAAGCATAGTAGTGCTTCCTCAAACAATCTCTCAGAACCTGTGGGGAAAATTTTCTGCTTAAAAAAAAAAATTGTCCAAGCAATCCCTGGTTCATGGAGATGCACACCCAGAAGCACAGGGCTTGCAGACCCCGATGCTTATTATTTTAATGAAGCGTGTTAACTGAAGCTACCCTTGGACCTGCGGCCATATTCTCAGAGGCGTTTTCCTTTTGAGGATATCCAGTGATTGCTGTTGTGGACAACAGTGGCCTACAGGACAGGATTCAAATGCCCCCGTGTGGATGAAAAGCCCCTTGTGACCTGCACTCTCTAGCCCCCAGCGACAAGCTGTTGGTGACAGCTAGGAACTTTCAAGTTTGCCAGCCACCCCCCCTCGTCCTCTCCTCCTTGCCCTCCTCTTCAGCCTTCTCTCTCCTCTTCCGTGGTTTCACTGTGCAGCTTAGACTTGTGTAGAGCTCGTACTTCCCCAGTCTCAAAATCCTAGGACTGGAATTACAGATGATATTAGTAAGTTCAGCTTGTCTCTTCAAGCTGGCCTGTGCCTACCCCCTCACCCGCTCGTCCACCTTGAGCACGGTTCTGTGAGCTCAACCGTTACTGAAGGCTCGCTTCCCCAGGAGTGATTAAAAACTAAATTGGGGTTGCTAGAGAGATGGCTCAGCAGTTATGAATATTTGCTGCTCAGGTTCAGTTCCTGGCACCCACATGGTGGCTCACAACCACCGATGGCTCTAGGGATAGGACAGCTCTTCTGATCTCTTCTGGAACTGCAGACATGTGGTGCACATACACACACCCAGGGACACACACAAACACACATAAAATATGAAACAAACAAACAACAAACCCAAACGGACATCACTATTCCTCACACAGGAATTTTTGTTACCAGGAAAGCTTACTATAGATTTAAGCGGCTTAAACAAGAATACCTGAATCACCTCATTTGGGACAGTCAGGAGTCACAGCGAGTAAGCCTCTGCTGGGGCTGGGGCTCCGAGTGTCCACTGGCAGCCTTTCTTTGTGACTCATGTGGTGCTGGCAAGGTCCAGTTTCCCTAGCTGTTGGACGAAGGCCTGCACTCCTCATGACCTGTCATCTGGGGCCTCTCAGTTCCACACAGAACACATGACAGCTTGCTCCATGAGAGCAACCGCCTGCATGGGTAGGGAGCGAGGTGAGGAGGAGCGGGTGGAGTACTGGAGGCGATGTGGGAGGGCTGAGCTCACAGCCTAAGGGCATTTTGGGCTGCCCACGTAGGAAGCTGAGGTTGCACACCCTCTTCTTGCCCTCTCAGGCTCACTTTCCTTCTTTTTATGGTACAGGCGTCTTGATGCTAGGGTTTAAAGAGAGACATGTTTTAAATAATGTGGCTCCTAAATACCATCTGAAAGTCAACTCCCTCGTCTGATCTTCAGCTGAAGAAAAAAAATGGACTTATTTAGAATACCAAAAGAACTCCGCTGGACTTACTAAGTAAAGGTGGTAAAGTATGTGCCGAAAAGGTTGGCAAGTGTGACTTTCAGTATATGCAGTTCTGGGTTCATGCCCTGAATTCGGGTTCTAATCTTGAGCAAGACACGTTTTCTCTTCTCTGAAGGAGGCCCTGGTGAGACTCTGTGGTTCTTCATGGATTGGCCTGAGCAGAGCCACTTGACAGCTGGTCCCTGTGCCCTCATGACCAGTGTCCATACTTTGACTCAATCCTCTTTCCTGGGAGGATATGAGGGGTAACTCTAGCTGAGACTCCTAGTAACAAGGGACAAGGAGACTGAAGGGATCACCATCTAAGTAGACATGACTCCTTGTGGAGGGAGGAGAACACCAACCCACCCACAACAACTTCGACCCGAAATGTACCCTGTCTACGAGATGTGCAGGGACAAAAATAAAGCAGAGATTGAGAGAATGTCCAGCCAATGATTGGCCCAACCTGCGACTCATCTTATGGTGAGTCCCTAACATGATTAATGGTACTCTGCTGTGCTTGGAGACAAGAGACTAGCATAGCTGTCCTCTGAGTAGCTCCACCCAGTAGCTGATGGAAACAGATGCAGAGACCCACAGCCAATCATTGAGTGGGGTGCATGGAGTCTTGTGGAAGAGTGTTGGGGGAAGGATAAAAGAACCCAGAGGAAACAGGAGCTCCACAAGAAGATGAATAGAGCCAACTAAATAGGACCCAGGAGGGACTGTAGACACTGAAGCACCAACCAAAGACCATGAATGGACTGGACGTAGGTACCCCCAAAAATGTAGCCAAAGGGCAACTTGATCTTCATATGGGTGCCCTAAGGGGAAAGGGGTCTGACTCTGTTGCCTGCTTTTTGATCACTTTCCCCTGGTGAGGCTGCCTCTCCAGGCCACAGGGGAAGGGGATGCACTCAATCCTGACTCGACTTGATGTGCTGGGGTGGATGGGTGGGGTTCCCCTTCTCTGAGGGAGGGGGGATAGGGGAAACAGAGAGGAAGGATGAGACCAAGAGGAGAGGAGGGAAGTGGCTACGATGGGGATGTAAAATGAATAAATAAAAATTAAAATAAAAAATAAAATATGCACTATCTTGCTATCCTCCTCTGTCTGTCTATAGCATACCCTGAACAAATTAAGCACTCTTAATGTTTTAATAATTAAGTGTTAGCCAAGTATGGTGGCGCACACCAGTAATCTCAGCATTCAGGAGGCAGAGGAAGGAGGAGCTCTGTGAGTTCAGGTCAAGACTGGTCTACAAAGCAAGTCCAGGACAGCCAAGGCTACAAAGAGAAACCCTGTCTTGAAGAGCCAAAAAAGATTAAAAAAAAATAATAACAATAAAAATAAAAAAATACATTTGTAGTTTTGCAGAACTTTCTGGTGTATGTGTCTAAAAATAGTTATGTGTGTTCCTAGCACTTGTGATTTCTGTTATTTTTACTAGTTAGGGCATTGGCACGGTTTGATCTTGTATCAAAAATCTGAACTTTTCTCCTTCCTTCTTTCCTCCTTCTGTTCTTCCTCCTTCCTTTTCCTTTTTTTGAGACAGGGTCTCTCTGTGTAGCCCTGGCTGTCCTGGAACTCACATCTGTAGACCAGGCTGGTCTCAAACTCAGAGATCCACCTGCCTCTGCTTCCTGAGCTCTGGGATTAAAGGTGTGCTTCAGCACCTCCTGGCTAAAATCTGTATCTTTCAGCCTTCACTGTTTCTAAATATTTTGTCCTTTTAATATTGCTTCGGTTTTATAATGATATTTTTGTCCAAATTTTAAACTGTTAAAAGTTATAAAAGCAATCCTTTGATACTAAATGGCTGTGAAGTTAATGCAGGCACTTTCTCCTATCCTAGCTTTTTGAGTCCAAATTGCTTCTGCCTCGTATTCTCATTGTACTTGTATTCCATGATGTTACCTATTGCATACAGGAGTAACCAGCCTCCAGACATTCCCAGTGGTCCCTGTGGATATATACCGCACATCTTGTGACTTGAAATCGCCTAGCGAAATGGCGCTAACTTAAATAGCACTGCTGACCGTCTGCAGTCTTGAAGAGGCAGGGGTGTCTCTGAAAAAAAAAGAAATCAGATGTAGATTTTTCTCCCCTAAAAGCCTTGTAGTAGACTTCAGAAAAAGGGGATAGGATGACTTTTAGAATGTACCTGTCTTTTTTCACTCTCCTCTGAGAAAGATGATTATCATTTAAAAACATGCGTCTCTCTCTGTGCATGTGTGTGCATGTGAGTGTAGGCTTGTACATAGGCCAGAAGAAGACATTCTGTTTCAAAGAGCTGGAGTTACAGGCAGTTGTGAGCCACCTGATTTGGGGGCTGGGAACTGAATTCAAGTCCTTTCTGCAAGAGTGCTTGTAATGACTGAGCCATCTTTCAACCCTACGATTGTTTCCTTTCTTCGTGGATACTCTGCACTGGCTCATACAGCCTAGGTCATATTTCCTTTTAATCCTGGAATAGTATATCGTAAACGAATGCATTCTTTGGTTTTTAAATATTTGTGTTTATGTATGTGTGCATGTGTATCTTCAAACAGGAGACAGTTTTGTTTGGGGCAGGGTCTCTTTTGATGTTTACCACTGCATGCAGCAGGAGGCTGGTGAGTTTTTAGGGGTTCTCCTGTCTGGGCCTCCTGTCTCTCTGTAAGAGTGCTAGGATTATGGATATGCACTACCTCGGTCATAGTTTTGGTGGGTTCCACTGACTGCACTCAGGTCTCATGCTTGCATGCTTATTCAGCAAGCACAGTACCCAGTGAACCACTCCCCCAGCTCCTGTTCTCTTCCTTTACCCATGGAAATTCCCACATGCCTGTGTCCTCTAATCCATGTCCACCATATCAGCACCTCAGGCCGGCACACAGGAGTCTGGTTTGCTTTTGCTGGTAAGTGCATTACAGTGCACAGAGTGCAAGGAAGGAGAAGTTTGTGGTCAGTAGGGAGGGGCCAGGCATGCATTTTGAAGGCTGTGTGATAGCACCCATTGACTGCCACGTGGGAAAAGAATGCCAGGGCCTCCTTCGATCTCCTAAATCCATCAGAGAATCTTGCTTCCACGACACCGTACTGTAGTGTTTTCTATGTGCGATTCATTCACAGTTTAATATGCTTCCAGTTCTGGGTTGACTTCTCCCCCAGGAAGAGCCTGAAATCTCTCCATTATAATACAGACAGTGCGCTACACTTTGAATACAAATTTATCCATGTTCAGACTAATTTTTCCAGCGATTGTCTCTACCCTGGAGAAGTGCCTTTAATGAATTACATACAAATTGTGTAATTTAAGAAGTTAATTTGGTTTTCTGGTTACACAGGACTGAAAACAGCCCTTGTAGAGAGAGATGACTTCTCATCGGGGACCAGCAGCAGAAGCACTAAATTGATCCATGGTGGTGTGCGATATCTCCAGAAGGCTGTCATGAACTTGGATGTTGAGCAGGTAATTGTGTATGCTGGTTGTTAAACAAAAACTGCCACTATGCTTTTTTTTTTACCCAATTAAATCAGGCTTTTTTTTTTTTTTTTTTTTTAATGGCTTTTAACATTTTTTCCTGTTCAAAAAAATACCTGTTTAGTGTACGCTGCTTGGGCACCTTTCCGGAGAGGCGTCCCTGTTCGTTTTGTATAGTATTATGTTTATGGGTAACCAGGGATTTTTTTTTTGTCTGTACAAGCATGTCAAAGTAGCGGATTTACAGAAACACTTTCGGATGGGTTGCCTTTTAACAATTATGATTGGGTTTTTGTCAGTGGCCACCAGATTGCTACTTCCGAGCAGTTTCAGGGGAGCTGTGTTGTAATTCGGATGGAGCACCAAATTGATCTCTTAACTGCAGCTGCAATCATGCACTCATATTGTCACTGACATATTCTTCAGGAAAAAAAAAAATGACTTGAGTCACGCTTTCTGTGTGTCACACTTTTTATTGTGTGTCCAGTCTGCCATCATTTGAAAACTGCCAAGGCAGTGTGGGAAATGACATTTCCCAGAGGGGTGAAAAAAAAAAAAATCAGCTTCCCTCCATATCTGCTTTTCATACAAGGAAAACAGAGCAGCGAGGACTTGCCATTGTCAAGTTTTCAGTCTGTTTCCCTTTCTCGCCTTGACAAGTCAGCTTTGAATCTGTCCCCCTTTCTTGTGTTTCTCTTCAGCACCTGTGATGGATGCAAAGAAAACGGCACAGGATTCATGATGCGCTGATTTCAGATGTGTTCTGGCTTATTTTGTCAGTGCCTACAAACATATTGTCATGTGTAAAATTCGTATTATAATGATAATGCTACCTCTTTAGGCAGGAATAATGAAGGCCGTGGGAGTGAAGACAAAGGCTTCTTTACCATCTGTATGATAGCTGTCCAGGGCTACACATCATCTTTGTTGGGTTTAGGGAAGACACGAGAACTTTCCGTGAATTTGAACAATCTGTTATCTCTAAGCTGGAGGAAACATTTTGGGGAAGTGAGAACGGGGACAGTGCAGAGAAAGCAAGATAAATGGTTACAATAATCTTGTAACTCAAGTCAGGAAATTCTCTGACACCTGGGAGCCCTGACAGCATGCTTTTCTCCTATGCAAATACAGTTAAGGTTTCTAAAAAATCTTTGAGGTTGACAGCATGATGTATTATTAGAGATTTGATTAGGAGGGAGCTCTCCTCACTCAGAGGTAGAAGGGTTCTGTATATCAATCAGTTGGCAGGGTGTCTATTTGCCATTTGAAAATATTATGATCTGTTACTGCCAAACTAATTTCCTCTGTTTTGATTTTCAGTATAGGATGGTGAAAGAAGCCCTCCACGAACGTGCCAACTTACTAGAAATCGCTCCCCATTTATCAGCTCCGTTGCCTATAATGCTTCCGATTTACAAGTAAGCCTTTGCCATCACCTGTATGCTATGCGCTTGTCCGAGGTCAGCAGAACAACACGGTTCTCATGGAAACAAGCCTTCTGTGTCTATTTCTTAATGTGCTTTTAATTGGTCCTAATCTTTAATCCATTTCAAATACTTTCTTTGGTGTATTTAAAAGTGTAGATTTTCTTAAATGCTCTCTGTGGACCTATGTCTAAGGGCCAGATTTTGAAGGCAAAGCAGGCTGAGTTCTGTGTTTATAATTAATGGAATCTTACTCCAGTTTCTTGGAGTGCATAGGTGAACAGCTGTGTTTACTCTAAGGCAGTCGGATGAGGTCATGTGTGCAGTGTAAAATGCAGACTTCCTCTCCCCCCAAAATTATCCTGACATTACCATGTAGCAACTAAAAGCACAGCTAGCTTAGCTATACTGAGTCATTTTTATTGTCTAAGTTAAGATAGATGAAATTCATCCATTAGGTGTGACTATACATGATCAAACCCATTCCCCTAATGTTAGAACTGTGTGTGGGGTTGCCCTGAGTGGAAGAGGGGTCCAGTAACACAAAAAAAGTGGATTATGTAATTCTTTTAGCCACCTGGGTGGTATAGGGCTAGAAGCAGATTTAACTGTCTAGTCCTTGTTTAGTTAGAGATCTCGGAGGGTTTCTTCCACGTGGATGGAGAGTACATCGCTAAGGCTTCCAGCCTACACTAGTTGAGTCCATGTCTAGATCTCAAGAATTGTAACATGCAGCAGGAGCCATGGAGGTGATCATAAACTAGAGCTGATTATCTTCTCTACGGCAGGCTGCTGTCAGAAGCAGCTATGCAGCCTCTCCCCACCTCGCCACCCCCCACTTTTCTTTTTTGCAGCCCACTACTTCTAGGTATAACTTTACTTTTTCCTAAATGGCTTTTCTTGTAATTTAAGGTGACATTCCTTAATGTTATACTGTGCTTCTAAAAACACCTCTCTCCCTGCTTATGCTGTAGGTGGTGGCAGTTACCTTATTACTGGGTGGGAATCAAGATGTATGATCTGGTTGCAGGAAGTCATTGCCTGAAGAGCAGTTACGTCCTCAGCAAATCCAGAGCACTTGAGCATTTCCCTATGCTCCAGAAGGACAAGCTGGTAGGAGCCATTGTCTACTATGATGGTATGTTTTATCTCTTTTCATTGTACAAGAATTTTTTTCAGTTCAACTATGACCCCTGAGAGTATACTGGCCCTTACAGTACACTGCAGTGAAATAGGTTTGCATTCTTGCTTTTGACTTTAATCTGACACAAATGTACCCACACCTGTAGAG